CCTAGGGGGGACTTGACCAAAATTCGCGAATTTGGGAAACTGGGCCTTGAGCCGTCCTGGCTACCGGCTCTTGCTGCATGAACGAAATTGAAAAAAAGAAGAAAGCCACAAAATGAGTTTAGAGCTAAACCCTAAAAGGAATAGGTTTGGGTGGTTTTTTTGCCGCCTCAGACGGCGTGGGGTGGGAGAGTGAACAGGAAGAGCCGTCGACATTCAGGCTCCAACAGCTAATCGTCACATCACGATACACTCGAAACTGCAATATCGCTAGATACTTCTTACGCCTACGCGCCATTCTACGGCAAACCCTAAACCCTAAACCCCAAACCCCAAACCCTAAACCCTAAACCCTAAACCCGAAGCCTAAACCCTAAGCCCTAAACCCTAAACCCTAAACCCCGAAAAAAATACCAACTGCCCAGGAGCATGTGAACCGAGACCGGGACAACGAGGCCCGGTTCCCAAAGCGCGGTCTCAGAAACTCACGGATGAACAACGACAAGCCGTAACTGCTTACCTGTTAGGGCCATATAAAAAATCATCATTTTTAATCCTTATTAGGGTTTTGTTATAACAAAAATGTAAACTTGTAGCCAACAAGGACCCAGGTAAGCGCTGGCGCCCTTATCATGATAACGCTGGGGAATATTGTACACCCCAACCAGTAGGATCCATATCCCCTAACTCCCCAAGCCCCTGAACACTTCAACTCCTGAGCCCTGACTGCCTCAACCCTGCATCCTTAAACCCCTCGAACCGCACATACCAGTTTTTTTTTATAGCAACCGTCATATACATTTTCTTTTGACCCTGTAGGAAACCTCTCTGGAATCCCGTCAGTAGGCCTGAGCCCTAAACCCCCATTCCTTCATGTGATCTTTTTTTATTGGGTGCAATGTTACATTTCTGTTTTAATTAGCCCAGTAATTAAAAATGATCGTTTTTCCTAAAGATCCAACAGGGAACCAGCTACCCCTTGTCATAACCCTGATGGAACCCTGCACAGGAAGCCTCGAAGGAACCTCCCCAAGACCTCAAACCCCTAAGCCCCTACACCCCCGAAATCCTAAACCCTAAACCCTAAATCGAAATCCTCGAGCCTAGCCCTAGAAAAAAGTTACAACCCTTATAGAGGCCCTTTAAGCGTTCTCAGAAGCCAAAAACGTAACCCTTATAGAAACCTTTCAAGCGTTCGCAGAAGCCAGAAGCCTGCGAAGACTAGAAACCCTTTCTTTCAGCGGCCTTTTTGAGAGGCCCGAGAAACAGCCCGCATGAAGCCTTCAGCCCCTATCAACCCTAAAACCGAAACTCCTAAACCCTAAACCCGAAACTCCTAACCCCTAAACCCTAAACCCTAAACTCCTAACCCCTAAACCCTAAACCCGAAACTCCTAATCCCCAAACCCTAAACCCCTGAACCCCTAAACCCCAAAACCCGTAACTCCTAAACCCTAAACCCCTAAACCCCTAAACCCTGAACCCTAAACTCCCTTATACACTCAAAGCCCACGCGTCTTAGGTCGCAGCCTCCGCGGACCGCCGCCGCCGCGCGGTGCTGGGCGAGGCTGGCGAGGCTGGGGACTTTTGCGCTTCGCAGAACTTTTGGTTATGGGGGGTTTATGGGGGTTTAGGGTTTTTTTGTTTTAAAGTGCTTTGGGTTTAGGGTTTAGGGTTTTTTGTTTTAAAGTGCTTTAGGTTTAGGGTTTAGGGTTGTGTGGGTGGGTGTGTGTGTGTGTGTGTGGGGGTGTGCAGATGCTAGGGGAGCGCAGGTCTCAACCTCGACCACCCGTCCCAGACTCTGCTCACCCACTGTTTCCCTTCCGAGCTCGCTCGAGGAAGTGCCCCGATTGCTTGGCAAGCCACGATCGCCTGCGGCCCAGCGCCGGGACTTGCCGAAGGCGCTTTTGCCCCTCAAGCCCGGAACAAGCAGCTTGCATTTTGAAGCTCCCAGACTCATGCCTTTCGTTCCAGCTCGAAGGGACAGGCACGGCATGGCACAGCATACGCAGCCAACTCTTCAAGGCCACTCGTTGAGGGGCCTTGGGGTTCAAGGTGAGTGTATCCGCGTGTCGTTGACTCGTCATGACCGGGTGTTTCCCGTGCGCTGCGGTGAATGAGCTGCTGAAGACCATCAGAGCTGCCTGGCCCATGCTCTCCAGAGCGATTCGAAGTGGGCAGGTTCTTTCTCCCCAGTGTCAGTTGGAGACGGCAGGCCCAGACGTTCAATGTGACTATGATGTGGCCGTTCCTATGAAGGAAGGCTACTCACTCACAGCGAATGTGTTTCGTTCCAGGGCAAGAATGCAAGCCAGTTCCCCAGATCCAGTGATCATGTGCGCGCACATCTATGATAATCACATTACACCAGCGCTCAAACGAACGCCACTCGGTGGTCCGCCACAACAGTACAGACTGATTCCACAAGGCGTCCCCTATCCGACGTTTTCTGAATCTGGGTTCTTGTTAAGGAACTTCTTTT